GGACCCTGGGATCATGACCTGAGCCGAAAGCAGAGGCTTAACCCACTGAGCCACCCAGGTGCCCCTGACTTGCTCCTTTTGTAGAAACTGTCTAACTAGGTTTTCTGGTTGAACTGAGTAGTGACAAATTACTAATCTAACAGCTGCTTATTAACTATTTCAAATGGAGAGATTAGAAATGATGCAGAAGTCATTTTCATAGATGAAGCATCTGACTTTAAAAATAATAAAATATTTTTGTTGTACAGGCTTTAATGTATGCAGTTATAGAATTTTTGATGATTGCTGTTGTGGATAGAAAGTAAAACTATAAATGAAATATTATGACATTGTTAAATGCCCAATTTGTCTCTGTTCAGAATTCATTTTGGTTTACTGTTGGTTATAAATTGATACCAGATAGTCATAATATAAAGTCTGCTTTATTATGACTAATCCTCTAAACTACTGCAGTGGGATGTGTGAATGAAAGTAATTATGTTGCTCAGCAGGAAGGACCTAATTCTTAATTCACAATTTAGGTATGACCTTTAATGTAAGGTCATAAATAAAGAACAGTAATACTGGCACTTTTTGTTTAATTGCAAAAAGCACTCTGTCTGTAGTACTTGTTGATACTGCTTGAATATTGTCTGTATTTATCTTTCTCAAAATGTGGTCCCCTGCCCCTGTGGTTGGCATAGTTGTTTTCATACACACACGCATGTGCACACGTGTGTGTGTGTGTGTGTGTGTGTGTGTGTGTGTGTGTGTGTGTGTAAAATTTTACATATCTGAAAGGGGGATTAAGTTGAAATGTCTAATTTCTGAATGGTGAAGACCTCCCCCTTCTTTCTCCCCATTATCCTGAGAACACTGGAAGCTGGTCATACTGCCAAAGCAGAACATTGGAGGATTCCTCTTTCAAAAGTGATTAGTTAAAAGGAAAAAAGGAATCCTCAAAACAGCCAAATTCCTGCCTGATCATCCTAGAATGAAGTACCCCAATCTGCTCACTCACACAGATCATTTGATCATGTTTTTAAAGTATTTTTTAGTATCTTTTAAATGTAAATGTACAGCCAGAAATCCCTTGTCATTTGAAGAAAACATCAAGCGGGAAAGGCAGAGACCGAAGCAGGTAGTGAAAAAGAATCCAGAGGTTACAGAGACGCTGCAGACAGCGGAAGACAATAACACCACCAAATACCCAATTTATATATATTATCAGAGAGGAAGTAAGATACTCCATTCATGAAAACTAAAAGCAAGATGTAGGGGGAAAAGAAAAGAAAAAAAGGCATGTAACAAACAGAACAGAGCTCATGGGAATGAAAATTTTAGTAGAAATGTTAGAAGATCAAGTTGAGGAAATCTCTCAGGAAACAGAGCGAAATGCAGGAGATGTAAAATGCAAGAGAAGAGAAAAGATAGAGTAAAGGAAAATTGGAGAATCGGTCTAAGACCAGTACCTAAATAATAGGCACTCAAGAAACGTGCATCTCTAAATTTAAAAGACAGCAGTTACCAGGTTCATACAATTAAAGCAAAAGCAAAACCCTACAGAAAACCAACCCAGCCCCAGAATGCAACACTGTAAAATTGCAGAGCACATAGGAAGAAGCTTTTTTTTTTTTTTTAGTTTTTATTTATTTATAAGAGAGAGAGAGAACGGGAGCGAGCGAGTGTGGGAGCATGAGCAGAGGGAGGAGAAGCAGACTCCCTGCAGAGGACAGAGCCTGCTGCAGAGCTGGATCCCAGGACCCTGAGATCATGACCTCAGCCTAAGGCAGAGGATTCACCGACTGAGCCATGCAGGCGCCCCAAGAAACTTCTATATATGCTCCCTTAGGGGGATATACAGGCGACTGTGAAGGATTGGGGATCAGGATGATGCCAGGCTTAACAGCAACACCGGAAGCCAGAAGACAGGAAAGGCTGTTAAAATTCTGACAAAACACGCTTTCCTGCCTAGAATTCAAATACTGAGCCAAACTCAGTTATTAAGTATGGGTAAATGGATATATTTTTGGACAACGTAAAGAGTTAAAAATGTAGCTTCCAGTTCCTTCTTAGGAAACTAATGGAGAAAATACTAAAAAGAGAAAACTAAGGAAAAAGTGAGATCAGTGAAATGGGATGCAGTATGGAAGAGGGATGGGGAAATTACAAAGATATGTTGAAGGGAAATTCTATGACCATAGTTGTGTACCAGGTCTAGAGAGCAAGCAGTCCAAATTGGAACCTGATAGAGGGCTCCAGAAGGCATGTATTTAAGAAAGAAATGAAAACAGTTTTACCTGATATATTTGAATATGTTAAAAGTTACACTTTTATCAGTTACAGTTTATCAGTTTTATCAGATGAATTAGTAGTTACCTAGAAAACAAAGCAAATGCACAAATGGTACAGTGATTAAGGAAAGCCAAAGTTCTACAGAATGGAAGAGTAATCATGATATACTTCAGCTCAAATATGGATATTATTTACAGCTGTAATAATAATGTAAACAACTGATTCAACCAAAAATTGTGAGGGGATATGGGGGTAGAGATATCACAGAGCCCAATAAGTCATTTTTTCCTAGAAGGAAAAATTTTAAGAACACATAGACCTGCTGTATAGAATATAGTGAAAAATGCCATAAAAAATAGCCAAAAAGACTTTAAAGAGTTTGTCCTAGGAATGTGAAAGGTGGGGCAGGGGATCTCTGTTTTCTGGTCACACTATTTGACTTTTTAAACTGTGTGCATGTCTGCTTGATTAAAAATATTAATTTTAAAAAGATACCCCTCACAGAATGCTTTCTGTACAGTGTATATACATCTCTCAGGCATTCTGAATTTCCTGGGGTTCTGACAACTCTATCATTTGGGGATATAGTCACCAAAATGCTATTTGAGGAGGTAATGATTTCTAGTAGTAGCAGTGGTTGATGTTATCCTTAGTTATAAATATTCATTTTGTTGTGGTGCTAACAAATGGAGATTTTTAAACACGATGGATTAAAATATATTGCATTTCAACATCTCATATATAAGTGTTTAGTTTTCCTCTGTGTTGTCAACACTTTGCATTGTGAATTGACTGCTCCATGCTTCTCTGAAACTTTTCGGTTGTGAGTGATGCTTCAGATGTTTGTGTTTCCTGTCCCCTTTTATTTATTTTTTAAAAATACTGCATGCTTATTACAGTCCTTGAGAGTATGCAGCAGCTGCTCCAGTAATAGCCGTGGATAGTACTCCATCTTTCACTAAACCTGATTTTAAGGTGCAGTGGTTAATTTGAATCCAGATGCATTCTTTTCTTATCTGAACCACCAATTTTTTTTTTAAAGATTTTATTTATTTATTTGTCAGAGAGAGAGAGAGAGAGAGATCACAAGCAGGCAGAGAGGCAGGCAGAGGCAGAGGGAGAAGCAGGCTCCCTGCCGACCAAGGAGCCCAATATGGGACTCGATCCCAGGATGCTGGGATCATGACCTGAGCGGAAGACAGCCGCTTAACCAACTGAGCCACCCAGGCGTCCCTGAACCACCAGTTTTTTTTTAAAGCCAAAATACTGGTGCTTGAAATGGAGATTGAGTGTTAAATCAGTTACTCTTTTAAAAGGTTTTTCTCTTTCCTAATTGGAAGTGTAACAGCATAATATTTGGAGCAGTTGTATAATATTCAACAAATTTCTTAACCTGTGTAGGCCTCAGTTTTCCTGTCTGTAGAATGAGGACAATACTTGCTGCATAATTGTCAATGATAATTACACATCCTGTAAAAACAAAAACAAAACTTATGCTTATGTCATCAACTTTTTTCTTTTGACTGTCACACAAGAGGTTTTATTTTATGGGAATTGCCAGTGTGTACTTCCATATAACATAAAACAATAATACATCTGTGCTGCATCCTTATACCTGTAGAGTCAGGACAAAAACTGTCATTGGGGAAAAGCCTGTGATAATCACTGAATTCAAGTTTATTCGTATTTGACCTAGGAGAATGCAGTTGAAGTGGGAAGACATTGTTCTCTTTCTAAAATTTATACTGCGTTCTCTGTAAAATGAAGTGCATTTGACCAGTGCCAACCTAAATGTATTTTTAACTGATAATCTTTGAAGCATAATTTCTGTTATTTCTCCAAATGCAGAAGCTTCCTTATAGTACTTCTCGGTTGAAGTCCCAGTTCCTTTTAAAATAAGTCATAAAAAAATCTTTAAAACTCTTGTATTCTTAGCACATTTTGGATAGTAAGGAGAAATTGATAGCTTGCTGACATTATAGTTAGTAATTAATCTCTGATCCTATCTAAAAAGAGAAGCATTTATAGGATTTGGGGTAGGCTTTATTTGTAAGGCTTGTAGTATTTCTTTGCCTTTTAGTGAACATAAGAGTTTGGGAGTTCATTTGCATTTGTATTGTAGTTATATGTATAACTTACCATTGTAGATTCCACCCCACCCTTTCTTCTGGTGTGACTTGTTTATTTCATTCTTTCATTCATTTCTTTATTCATTGTCCAGTCATTTGGTGTGTTTCTCCTGTTGTCAGGCCCTAGTGTTAGATGCTAATGGTGACCTTGGCATGTGCCCTTGGAGGACCTCAAACTGGTCATGGACTCACTTGTACAAATAGAAACTTATAAAAAAAGCAAGACAAGTGCTAAATAAAGGTATGCAAAGTGACCAGTAAAAGTAGTGAGAGAAGAGTCATTAATATTGCCAGGCCTTATTGGACTAAGGCTGACAAAAGCTAGAAATTGAGGAAACAGTATTTTTCAGGCCAGAGAAGTAGGGTAAGGGCACATATATGTTTGATAGCCAGCTATATTTGATATAAAGCTCTTTATACACTGTTTTCTCACTATTTGATTTTTTAATTTACTTTGTTTGCACTCTTTAAATAGCTTCCAGAGGATTGGCTGGGGTGGGGTGGCCTCTCAGGTAGTGGCAGTGAGTTAGGAAAGGCAGTTTATCTTTTGTGTATTGCTATTAGGCCTGAGATGAGGGGATAAAACAGTGGGGGAAATAGAGAGCCAGTGGTAAGCTTACATGTTTCTTCTACCCTAGCACCTCCCTGTCAGTGGTGGTCAAGTCAGGTTCTGCTGTTAATACTGTATGATCTTGGGTAAGCCATTTCTTCTCTCTGGATTCCATTTTCTTCCACTTTAAGATGAGAGGGTTGGTATAGTTAGGCATTTCTTACTGGTAGTCTCTTAGTAACGGGAGAAAAAGGAGAAAGTGACCAAACAAGTTTGGGAACAAGGAGTTAAATAGATTTTTTAAATTACAACTTTCCACATTATGGCATGTGGATTGAATTCCTATACTTTTTAGCCTGGCCTTGCTAGTGGAGTGAGTCAATATTATGTTTCCAGCTCTGTCCTTTTCCTAAAACTTTAGTGAAAAGAGCGTGGACTTTAGAATCATACATACCTGGATTTGAATCCTGACTGCTACTTTGTAGCTATGTGGCCTTAGGTAAGTTATTTGACCTTTCTTAACTACATAGTTTCTTCATGTGTAAAGAAGGAAGGGGATAATAGCTTGTGGAGATACTAAGATTTAGTGACACCCATATGAAAATACCAAGTATATCTGGTAAATACAGGGTCAAAAAGGATATATAGTTTTTAAGTCCTTACAAATTCCAGGGTCAGCATAGAATGTAATACCTGGTAGTATGTTATTTATACCCTGCTCGCATCTGACGTTTGAGGTGGGCATTTATGTGTTTCATATATACTTATATACTTTTACCCCAAGAAAACAAATGTTCTTGAAGCCTCATCGTTACGTTTTGCCATCTGCATAGCAGTCAGCACTCTCCTGATGACTCAGGAGGCTCTTGATGAATGAATACCTGACAGTTGCATTGAAACAGGGCAATGAGGTGAGATATGGCTCTGACTGGTGTATACTTCATCTTACATTTTTTATAACCCTGGGTAGATGTCACTGAATTTATGAATATTAATTTTTAAATTTTTTCGATTACTTATTTTAAGCTGAAAATAACTAGAGTTGATTGTAACTGAGCTGGCCTTTAAAGCAGACCACGAGGGGAAAGGGTTAGAATAAAGTATTCTTTAATATTGTGAATTATACTCTTGGAATACTAACATTTTACATTTTGTTTTGTCTCTAAGCAAATGGTTATGAGCCTTAGAGTTTCTGAACTCCAAGTACTGTTGGGCTACGCTGGGAGAAACAAGCACGGACGCAAACACGAACTTCTCACAAAAGCCCTGCATTTGCTAAAGGCTGGCTGCAGTCCTGCTGTACAAATGAAAATTAAAGAACTCTATAGGCGGAGGTTCCCCCAGAAAATCATGACGCCTGCGGACTTGTCCATCCCCAATGTTCATTCAAGTCCTATGCCAGCAACTTTGTCTCCATCTACCATTCCACAACTCTCTTACGATGGTCACCCTGCATCATCACCGTTACTCCCTGTTTCTCTTCTGGGACCTAAACATGAACTGGAACTCCCACATCTTACATCAGCTCTTCACCCAGTCCATCCGGATATAAAACTTCAAAAATTACCATTTTATGATTTACTGGATGAACTGATAAAACCCACCAGTCTAGGTAAGATTATTCTATAATGGTTATTTGGTTACTTGGGGGTGGGGGTGGGGCGATACTCAGTTTGACCCAGTTTATTATTCATTGTGAATAGTAGTGCAAATCTTTGATAGTAGCATTCAGATTACAATAAGGATCTTTCAGTTTTAAACAAAATCAAATATAAGCTGTCTTTTAGGCAAAGAAAAAAGTAGAGTCAAGTTTCCAGTGATGGTTGCTGACCCAGTAAATATTAAAAAGTTTCCAAGAACAGACTTTTATTAAAGTATAATATTTTAGATTGTTGATTAATATTTTACAGTAACCTTTACAAATTAAAAAAGTAAAATGTAGTAATAGTACCAGCCTCTGAATTCAATACTTAATTTTCAGGAGTTGATGACATCTAAAACAAATGACTGACTAGTTTTGATTACTTAAATGAGTTAATGGTTTTAATTATTATAAAAGGAGATTTGAGCTTTGATGTGTAGTATTTCAGTTTCAGCTGACTTTTCAAGTGGTTATGTGTGCTTTTAGGTACACACATGATCATGGTTTATAATATTGAAATTTTATTTACTGTGTTTTTATCATCGTTTGATTAATATTTGGGATATTAATAGAATTAAGTGTATTAACTGACCTGTAATTTTAATTTCTCCAATACTACCTTGCTTTATTTAATGTAGAATAAAACTGACTATTGTAATTTCTGATACCTTTGTCATGATGTATTTTAAATATCAGATGTTAAGGTGCTGGTTTATTGTCATAAATTAGTGGTCGACAAACCATGGCCAGCAAGGCAGATTCAGCCTGTTTTCTGTTTTTTATGATCTAATAAGCTAACTTGTGAGCGCGCGCGCACGCGTGTGTGTGTGTGTGTGTGTGTGTGTGTGTGTGTGTGTGTGTGTGTGTGT